AAAAAAAAAAAAATTTTCTTTTTTTGTATTCCGTACGTGTACTGATGTAAAAACGTTTTTTACGCCACTCCTTTATTATATGTTACCTTCCAAGATTTTATCTATATTGTTGAAGTTTTTTAATTTGTTAAATTTAATTTAAATTTTATTTGTAAATTAAGTTAAAAGAGATTTAGATCTATTCCTGAACCCCACCTACTAACATAATTTTATTCCATTATATTGTATAATATTCTATGTAAGTTCACCTTTTCAAATTCCGATTTCTCCTTACCGTTATTAATACGATCCGGTTAACATTTGTTTAATTTGTTTCTTATTTCTTAAATTTAGGTACTGAAGATGAAACATTAGTTTCGAAACATGTCTGCTTGAATAGAATTAAAACATTTTAATATTTCTCAAAAAGTTTTTACTTTTACCTACATCATATTTTATTATATTAGAGAAATATGGAGAATTTCATCCTATTTGAATCTATTTACACAGACTTCAGTAAAGCATTTTGTTATAAACCGACCAATTTATTTTTTAATTAATTTCATTTCATTTTCTATTTTTTACGCTGACGAGCGGTAATACGATATCGCCTAGTCGTACGTGATTGTCCGCTTGTTTTCAATTTGTAAAACAGAATGTAAGTTGTTCCCAACGGAAAAACATCAAATAAAAGAAGTTCGTCAAGGAAGCTTTTGGTTTAACTTGCAAACCCTCTTCTTCTTCCCAGTAAGAACCCCTTGGTTCGCAACACAATTCCTCCCTGCAAAAACTTCGAGTCTGTGAACGTAAGATATTATAATTTCTATGTCATGCTATAAATAAATAATTTCCATGCCTTTATAGGAAATCAATCATTACATTCGACGGTTTTGTGCTGAAAAGCAAATCAATTGTATCGACATTGAAGCAATTGTTAACAGAAACATGATGGAAACACAACGTAAAAATGTCTCTTTTCTTATGTATTTAATACAAGTTTCTACACAGGGATGGCATTCACTTAAATGAACAAGGGTCGGAAGCGGTCTGGAACGCGGTAACAAGTAATTATAATAATATTGTCAATCCATTACATACTTTAATTATAAGTAAAACAGACCATTAATATAATAAATTTCTTTCTCTATTCAAGGTTTTTTTTCTTTCAAAAATCCACCCTCCAAATCATCTCATTAATTCTCATTAATTAAGTCCGCATCGCGCTCTATGCGTATGGAATCTAATAACAATTTTTTCTTCTCGAAAACCGTTAAGGGTTGCGGTGTTTTGACGGTCGATTTAAATCGCTAAAGGCATCCTCTAAATCGTCCTAAATCATTAGCATTACTACGTACAGGGTGTCCAAATTTCGATAGGTTTGCAGGTTATCTCAGTTATTATGAAAGATAGAAAGTTGCGATTTTCGAGAACCTGAGCTACTTTTTTGTGAAACTTATAATGCCGCAAACCAAATTTTTATAGACCTCTTCGTTTTTGATATACATTTCAAAATTTACGATTTTCAGACATCCCCCGTATCTCCGCTATCCGGAAACTTAGTAAAAACGGGTTCTAATAGATTTTTTTACGTAGAATCCAATGGTGCACGTAGAATTTTTCTAGTCATCACGGTTTTTAAGTTATAAACACAACTTAGGTTTTTTTAAATGGAACCACCTATATTTTATTTTTTTATTGAACTAGAATTTTTTCAAGCTTTTCAATGATATATAATACTCTATACTTACCTTTATAATTAACCTCGAAATTCAATAAAATACATTATTTTATAAGTAGGCAATGATAAATAGACTGCCTAGCCTGACGTCACAGAGATGGGCGGAGCTTATATCGACTCCAAACAATTTCGTTGCTAACCACAGTTGCTAATGATAAACCGTAATAAAAATGTCATTTGAAATGTCATATAAAAAGTCACTTAGTTTATTTTATTTTAACACTAATTGAAAAATTGCATATGGTGATTTACCGTTAGCAACCAAAGAAATTGTATAACTAGAAGCACATACAGTGCTAGCGTAAAGTACCCCCCCCTCCCCTTTTTAACTTCTGAACAGATTGAGATATCAATATGAACAAAAAAACGTCAGTTTCTATATTTTATCTATATTTTTCCGGAAAATGGAACTGCTTTGTTTTTTTAAATGGAACACCCAGTATATTATGGTATCTTTCGAAAGAATAAAACAATACGAATTCAACGTTTTTCGCATAAAAATTAAACAAAATGCGGAATTTCGCCGGAAAAACCAACGTATCTTCGTTGACTACCTGTCGAGATACAATGGGCCAGATAAATGGTGGAAGGTCGGTCTACGCTCGGGTTAAGCAGGGTTAAATCAGCAATTCTTTTAGAATGTTTTTATGAAACAATCAATACAAGAAAAGGATAAAAAGAAAGTTCTTTTTAAAACTTCTAAGAAAAAATTGTCATAACAACAATTTTAAAGTTTGTAGGTACTTTGAAATTTTGTATTTAAGGCAACATGCAAATATTTTCCTTCATTTCTATCTTTGAATTCTACCCGACCAAGTATAACCAAAAAAAGGCGAGATCAAAATGGCTAGAATGAGTTTAGAGCACAATATCGAAGCAATCTTAATATTCGCTCGTGCTGACAGAAATCTACATGAAACAGAGCGACAATTTAAGGAACGATTTCCTGAACATCCAATTAGTCGAAAATATTTAAGAGAGCTTGTGAATAAGTTTTTGGAAACTGGAAGCGTCGAAGACCGCAAAAGAACTGGTCGTCAGATATTAACAGAAGTATTTAATGTGCCCATGATGTCGTCTGCTGCTATCGCATCAACGTGTGATGTGTTAAATATTTCCGCGTCGTTGTTGGAAGACGTGGAAATACTTAAAGAAGAATAAATATCATCCATTTTAAATAAAAATGCTTCATGAATTAACAGAAGATGACCCTGATATAGAAGAACAGAATTTTGTGAGCTAATGACAAATATGGTTGAACGAAATCGATTATACTTGAAACATATTTGTTTCAGTGATGAATGTACTTTCTTTTTGGGTGGAAAATTGCATCGGCGTGATGTTAATCCACATGAATATCGTGACGTTATCACTCAATTTCATTAGAAAGTAAATGTTTTTTTTTCAAGACTTTTGCAAATTGTACAACAGAATTCTGACGATTTTGAAATGGAACTAGTGTTTCATCAAGACGGAGCACCTCCACATTATGCGCCAATGGTACGAAATTATCTTGATAAAAATTTTAATGGACAACAAGATCACCAGATCTGACACCTTTAGATTTCTTTTTATGGGGTTATTTAAAATCCAAGGTATATGAAATTCCGTTGGGTAGTATTGAGGATTTAAAACAAAAAATTATTGACGTCTGCCAAAATATTGATCACATGTTAAGCCGTGTGAGAGAGGAAACACTACAAAGATGGTACCACTGCCTAGAAGTTCAAGGTAATCATATCGAACAATTTACTTAATATTTGATTCTTAATAAATAAAAAATTCTTTTATTATTCAATAACAACACTAAGCAAATTTTTCAACCGTTACCTATACTAGCAAAATCTTTAATAAGAAAATTTCATTTCTTATATTGACTTTTTTTCTTTATAAATATTTTTTGATAAAATATGATTAATTCATAAATTTAATATACTTCCAAACAACTTTTATTTCATTTCTAAAAAAAATAAGTAATTGAACTTGCAATTTTAAATCCGTCTTAGCTCGAGCGTATACCGACCGTTAACCTACCGTCCACCATTTACCTGGCCGATTGCATTTCGACAGGTAGTCGACGAAGATACGTTGGTTTTTCCGGCAAAATTCCGCATTTTGTTTAATTTTTATGCGAAAAACTAATAAACCGATATTTGATTGTGAGGTACCGTTGGATTCGTATTGTTTTCATCTTTCGGAAGATACCATAATATACTGGGTGTTCCATTTAAAAAAACAAAGTTAATCTATTTGCCGGAAAAACTAAAAGTGATGGCAAAATTTTCCATAAGAAAATATTTGTGCTGATAAAATATAGAAACTGACGTTTTTTTGTTCATATTGATATCGCAATTTGTTCGGAAGTTAAACAGGGGGGGTTACTTTACGCTAGCACTGTATAAACACCAAGAGTTGAAGCCAGCGTTCGATGTGTTTTGTTTACGTTTTCACTCAGTCCAGAATGGAACACGCTCAGATCGGACCGTCCGACCGACGATCACCGAGTATTTCCGAACAGACCAATCTTTTTATTGTTTCTTTGAAAATAAATTTACCTGACTAATGTTTATCCATGTTTACCGAACCCTAATAAAGAACAACCCTCTCCCAAGTAAACAAGGTTTGTGAGGGCATTTGTGTTTTGGCTTTAGCCACTAAAAAGCCCCAACAAGTTAACATTCTAGTAGTATTTTTTCTTAAATATCTATGAAATGGTTAAATTGTGTGCGGTGTGCGGAATGCGGTACGAAAAAAAATAATAAAAGAACATTTCATTTGTAAGTAGTAATTCTAATATAATTGGAAAATATATGTATATAACATACAAACTGATTTTAGTTTTCCTAAAGATAAAGATAGGAAAAAGAAGTGGTTAGATATTTTAGGAATTGAAAGTGTGCGTGAATCTGCGTTGGTATGCGGTGATCACTTTAAAGATTCAGAAAAATATAAAGATGTACAGAATCGTACATTGATCAAAAAGACTGCTTTTTCTTGAACCTTATTATGTTAAGCCAGTGGAAGAAAACGAAAGAACCAGACGATCGGCTAAGTAAGTGATGTAATTATTCTTTAATTTAATTTAATTTTGTTTTAACGTCTTCAACGGCTGAATTTTTTAAAATGCAAAAAAAAACTTAAAAAAATTTTTTTTTTAAGGCTAATTCACTTTTTGTAAACGGCACCAAATAATTAATAAAAGCAAATGGACACATATGTGCCATCGTCTGAAAATGTCAGGATCTAGATACTTAGTATAGATAATTTTAAAAAAAATTTTAAGTTCTTAAGGGGGAAGTACATTTAGACGAGCTAAAATAAGCGCATTTTCAAGTTATTTTTTCGCGAAGTTGAAATTAGTTTCAAACCTTTTTGATACCCACTACTATTTAGTGATGCTTTGACTATAAAAATATGTATTCACATATTCTAAAACTTTTATAGGCGA